GGCGCCTTAGCCGGTTGAGCTATAGGCGCCGAGCCGATCTATAGTCTTTTCAAGTTAATTTTTAATTCACAAAGATACAAGTATAGTAATACTTTGTAATCACTTTTCTCTTACTAAATGATCTAATTTACTATTTTTAAAAGTTGTTCTTTCTAAGTTCAGCAATTCTCAAACCCAAATCTTCCTTATCTTCCAGCAAATTCTTCCTTTGGAGAATAATGGAACTTATTTGTAATGATTTGTAAGCCCTTTAAAGTATAAGCCAGTCACAGAATGTTAGGCTGTTTCCAGAGATATTACAGTTCCAGGGGACAAAATCTGATCCTCGGCATATTGGAACCTCCAGAATTATGGCCCATGTTGTAACATGCTGATGCCATGTTTATAAGCTCAGGATTGGCCCCTCTGCTGAACATGTGGTTGGGGGTATTCTCCAGTCCACATAGACAGATGGCGAGGACTATTACTTTCGACCCTGGACTCTACTTATTGCAGAGTGAGTTGGAAGATTTATTACCGATCCTTGTCACATGATAACTGCTGAGTTATGATTTCTTTAGAAGAAAATGTAATGAGGGAAGGAAATCGCACGTACCATATTGTTACTGAATAAAAAGCTTTTATATATATAATACTTCAAGCCAGGTTGGAAATAACATGAAACATTGAAAATAATTCTGGATAACCTCTATTATGCGACAATAGCACCTAACATGCATTTAAATGGTTGATCTAAACTACTTATCCTACCTCAATACTGAAGAGTTAGATTATCTTATGATACACAGTCATGGTGATTTAGTTTTTCTTTCTAGTATGCTGTCTCTCAGATTAGGACCTACAAACATTGAAAGTAAAGATCTCTGCGTACCCATGTTCATAGCAGCGTTATTCACAATAGCTAAAATGTAGAAGCAACTCAACTGTCCATCAACAGATGCATGGTTAAACAAAATGTGGTACATACATGTAGTGGAGTATTATTTTGGCTTAAAATTCTGACACATGTTACAACACAGATGAACCTTGGAGGAATTATGCTCAAGAGAAATAAGCCAGCCACAAAAGAAACAAGTACTGTCTGATTCTGCCTGTAAAAGGTATGAGGAGCAGGCTCGGCGCCTATAGCTCAACCGGCTAAGGCGCCAGCCACATACACCTAAGGTGGCGGGTTCGAATCCCCAGCCCGGACCCGCCAAACAACAATGACGGCTGCAACCAAAAAATAGCCGGGCGCTGTGGCGGGCGCCTGTGGTCCCAGCTACTTGGGAGGCGGAGGCAGGAGACTCACTTGAGCCCAGGAGTTGGAGGTTGCTGTGAGATGTAATGCCATGGCACTCTACCCAGGGGGATAGCTTGAGGCTCTGTCTCAAAAAAAAAAAAAAAAAAAAGGTACGAGGAGCAGTCAAATTCCTAGAGACAGAAAGTAGACTGGTGGTTGCCAGGGGCTGAAGGGAGAAGGGAATGGAAGCTATTGTGTAATGGACACAGAGCTTCAGTTCTGCAAGGTGAAAAGAGTTCTGGGGAGGGACAATGATGATGGTGGCGCAACCATGTGAATGTATTTAATGCTCCTGAAATGTACACTTAAGCATGGTTAAGATAGTAAATTTTATGTCATGTATCTAATTTTTTTACAATTAAAAATAATTTTAAGACTATTTTTAAAAAATTCCGTAAAGGCTGGGCACCGTGGCTCACACCTATAACATTAGCACTCTGCAAGGCCGAGGCAAGAAGATCATTTGAGTCTAAGAGTTTGAAGTTGCTGTGAACTGTGACACCACAATACTCTACCCAGGGTGACAGAGTGAGACTCTGTCTCAAAAAAAAAAAAAAATTAAGTTAAATTTTAAAAAAGTAGTAATCTATCCAGGGTACAGGGGTGGAGGGAGGCAAGAAGAGAGACTTTTTCCCCCGAATTTTAGATCTGACCTCGAAATAGAAATTTCTGCTTCTGCCAGAGTTGGGAAAAGATGCCACTTTCCTCCCTCTCTGAGTGGTTCTTAATCCCTCTTTAATTCATAAACAAAGCAGCAAGTTCCCTGTAGCTCCTTGAAACTTTCCCAACTCAAACATGATGCCACCTACTCTACCCGGCTGTCTAACCCCCTTTTGATACAGGCGCTGCCCTAAGATGTATGCCTCATTTCCAATCATGAGCTCAGTATTCTTGCATTTCAGTAAGGAGAGCAAAGAGACAATGGTGAGAAATGACCAACCCTACAATAAAGAACCTCTGTTGGGAGCTGGGGCAAAGGCCAGGGTACTAAGGAAATGACTTCTTGCTCCTTCCAATATTGAAAGGATATTCATTCTAACAAATAAAAGGACTTTGCATAAAAAGAAGAGACAGGAAAGCCTGTGTTCAGCACTGAAGGCACTGGGGGTTCTCGTGAAGATTTCCTTCTCAGATTTGTTTCACATTTCACACTTAATTTTAATCCCACTCTTCTCTACATTTCATAATAAATACAGTAGGCTCCTGGCTATTTCCACAGAGATTCATACAACCAGCTTTAAGGGCCCCAGGTGAATTAGTGGGGAGAAGGAATTCACATGTTCCTGAGCCAGAAAGAGAAAAGAGGTCAATATGGTTGGCTTAAGAATTCAATAATGTACAGAGCTGCTTCTTCATCCCAGGGCCCTGCCCACTCTTATCTAGTTAATTCCATCTCTGACCTATTTTCTCTCCTCCTTTAAAATAGATTTTGTAAAATGATAAATTTCTGTTGTTTTTTTCTTCTCCCTTTCTCTCTTGTTGTTGTTTTTGTGGGTAGTATTCTTTCCTTTTAATTCTTGATTTCCTAATTATTTCTTCTAGCAAGTAGTGGTTTCCTAATTTACCTTCATGTTTCTAAATTGACAGTATTTACAAATGTAATTTTTAATTTTGTTTCTATAACAGACAAAAGTCTGAAGCTCTGGGGTCATACTTTCAGTTAACTTCTTATACATTAATAGCTTTTTATTTTTTTCCCCTCAAGGTAACACATTCAGTGCTAATTGAAACATGCTTCCTATAAAGTCCACCTGAAAGTAGCTTTATGTTTTGGCTCTCTGGAAATCTCTGTAAAACAATGGTCATAACTTAATTCAGGATCTGAGGAATGACAACCATCGCAAAAGACTTGTTTAAAAAAAAAAAAAACTGGAGGGATAATAAGGGGAAGATCCCAGGGATGAATATCACTGACGTTATTTAAGGAAAGGCATTTTGTCCCAAATAGCCCCAGTTCATTCCAGATAACCAAGTGTAGGAACTTAGTTTTTTGTTTTTACAGATGCTAACAATACTGGACTTAGGCAGAATTTCTCCACCATGGGAACCCTCAGCAGATGTGCCAGACAAGGCGGTGCTGAGGCCAAAGACCAATGCACCAAAGAGCATGTTCTGTGCATGAGGTCATAATCCACCGGGAAGTCTGGGAGGATACGGTACACACACTTGTTACGCTTTGTGATAGTCAGCTCAGGCTTATCGTGTGAGGCCCTCACAACAATGCAGTCAGTGTGTTAAGGATTATCCCTCTACGTTCTATTCTTACCTCTTCTCGAGTATCCTTGAAGGATGAGTTTAAAGTTCCTCCTCTCCTAGAAAGGGAAGACTTGCTGGGGTCTTCTTGCTGCCCAAAGAGCTCCTCGATAGTCTTTGTATCAATTTGGTAGTGATGCTGCTGACTGGCTGCCAGGGTCCAGATGTTGGTTTTGCCACGAACTTGCTCCTCTGGAATGGTTTTCCAAAAAAAGCTTCTCATCCGCTTTTTCTTACCAAGGTGGCTGTAGCCGTTCATGTGAGAAGTTGGAGGTAGTCCTGGAGGGGGAGGTGGGACAGGAGGCCCCCCAGGTAGTGGAGGTGGTAGGGGCGGAGGAGGAGAGGGAGGAAATCCTTCCCCTAAATGTGGACATGGTGGAGGTGGGGGGGGTGGAGGAGGAGGTGGAGGAGATGCTGGAGGTGGCGTCTGCCCAATCATGAATCCAGCTGCTGTGGTGATAGTCCCATTTTCTTTATCACTGACCAAGGAGACACAATTCATAACATGCATAGTACCGCTGCCTTCTAAGGAGGTAATTTCTTGACCTTGAGGAAGCAGACACAAACATCAAACTTGTGTCGCTCTGTCACCCGCTATCTGCCACCAGGAAAAAAGGCGACTGTGCTGCAGGTCATCATTAAAACCTACCAAGATAAAACAAGTGTCAAATCAGTATGGGCGAACATTTTCCTACTGGCTTTTCCTTTCGGAGGCTAGTGTCATCCTCCCATATTAGCTGGATATTAAGATCAACAAGCCGCAACACCTCCCAAAGTGCATTAAAAGAAATTCATATTTTCTTTCTTTCTTTTTTTTTTTAAAGACAGAGTCTCACTTTGTTGCTCAGTAGAGTGACGTGGCGTCACAGCTCTCAGCAACCTCCAGCTCTCGGGCTTAGGTGATTCTCTTTCCTCAGCCTCCCAAGTAGGTGGGACTACAGGTCCACAGCACCCGGCTATTTTTTTGTTGCAGTTTGGCCGGGGCTGGGTTTGAACCCGCCACCCTCAGTATTTGGGGCTGGCTGAGCCACAGGCGCTGCCCAGGAATTCATACTTTTCTAAATGTGAACCAAATTTTACTACCTGGAAATCCTGCCTATGAAGTAATAAATCCAATTTGGAAACCTTCCATTAATCAATAAAACCCATATTTATTAACAGCCTATAGGTTCAACAAGTATTGTTCACTTCATGAATAAACTATTTGTTGACTAACTGGTTCATTCTCTCCAGGCAATGGATACCAACCCCAGGACTGCCCAAATTGCTGAAGCATTAGGCATTGGTGACCCTGCCTTTTTCCAGTCTGGACATGTTTCCTACCAATCGCTAGGTCAAAAGGCATCTTGTACCTTGTACAGAATAGGCAGGACATTGGGATGACAAAATAATGGCCTAGCTCTTTTCCCTAGAGTCAGGGCCATCATGTTCCTTCTCCACTTGGTGATGTAGCTTCTCCCCAAATAGGATGAAAAATGGCAGATGTGAGGATTAAAGGTTCCAACTCTAAATTGAGTTTTATTGCTTACAGCTTTAGACAAGTCACTTGGCCTCACTCGACTTGAGCTTTTCCATTTGTAAAACTTGGAGGCTACACTGAATGAACTCTCTGCAATGCTATTGTCTTGGATTCTAGTTAGGCCACTCTTTGGAAATGCTCTGCATCTTCTGTGATACAGCAAAGGAGAGACACACACACAAGGACATGCTGCCCATATCTTATCTGCCACATGTTCATCTCTTTTTTTTTTTTTTTGAGACAGAGCCTCAAGTTGCCCCCCGGGGTAGAGTGCCGTGGCATTACAGCTCACAGCAACCTCCACCCGCCCCCCCCCCTTCC